CATAAAGAGTGTTGGAGACACCATTTCTGACTCGGAGTCCAACTCATCACTCGTGTGCAGTAGATTAAAGGAGAATGGTAGAGGAGAGAGTAGACAATTTGGAAAGCTAGAAAGGTGAAAGATATTTAAGTTAGTACTCAAAACTCAAAAGTATTTAATTTTTTAAAGTTTTTTTTATCAATTTATTAGTGTAGTCGGTGAGTGGTCTCCGAAATCATAAGAAGACAGTTTTTTTTGCTCCTCTCTATTTTGGTCAATTTAATTCTAAGCAAGGGGCACTAGAGCATGTTCTTAACTTTTATCTCCCTATTATCCTTATATTTATAGTTAATTTTATTGAGTGATTGAAAAAAATTATAATTTCATACTCTTGAAAAGTGGAAATTATAGTTACTCACTATAGTTTAATTCTTTTTATGTTAGGTTTTGGTCAATTTAATTCAAAGCAAGGAGCATTGGAGAAAGTTCTTAACCTTTTATTTCTCTATTCTTTTTATATTTATAGTTACTTTTGTTGAGTGATTGAAAAAATTATAATTTCATATTCTTGGAAAGTTGGAATTATAGTTACTCATTATAATTTAATTCTTCTTATATTAGGTTTTGAGTTTTTTGTGCAATTGTTAAATTTTTGGTAAATAATGAATGTGATATTTTAAATATTTTATTTGAACCATAAACAAAAAATTATGTGTTTCAATGGTCAATTTTTTTCTTTCTAGGGTTATGTGATACTATTGTTTGTTTTAGTTTGTGAAGAAATTGAAGTGTTATTAGAGTTTTTTGGATTTTTAGCATCTTAAGAGAAAAAGCAAGGGATTATTTTTATCAAGATACTTAGGCATCAAGAAATGCATATGATTAGTTGAGGTTTTGGAATTTCTTGTCATAGTTAGTTTAGTAATATGATTTCTTTTTTGTTTGTATTTAACAAAAGACGTGAAATTAGTTAAAAGTGTAAATCTTCATATTAAAAACTTAATGTTTGAATTTTAAAATAAATGAAAATTTTTTTTAAATGAGATAGTTATTTTTTATTGTATAATTTATAATTTGATATATGAAAAAATAATTCATTTTTGTTCATTTTAAAAGTTATTAGTAGTAAAATGTTTGAACATTTATCTTGTGGGGTTGCCTTCTGTCGTTGTTCCTTTCTTGAATGTTTGTTTTCGAATCTCTTTTACTAAAATTTTTATGGGTATCTTTTTTCTATCACCATATGGTTTATAAAAAAATTTATAAAACAAATAAACTCTTCATTTTCAACTTCCATATAAGTAATGTTTTAAATAAAATTCATAAACACTTTAAATATTAGCATTTCACATTTTTATTTTAATTTAAGAGAAATTTTTCTTTAAAAAAGATAAAAAATAAAAAGCTTAGCCAAAAACCCAACCACAATTTAACTAGCTATTTTAATTTGAATCAATATACATGAATCAATAGTATATATTCTAGTGTTTACTACAAAAAATTATTTTACTATTTCAATTATAGAATGGGTTGATTTTTTGTTTTTAAGGTTGGAAGATGTCTAAGAAAATAACAATTGATTTATTTTTCAAGAGAAAAGAGAGAAATAGTGATGCTTGTGACACACAATCTATTCCGGTAGCACCAATTTCAAAGTCTATGCCTAATATAGAAAATTTTGTTCAACTTCAGCCAAATACAGTGCCTAATTTGGAACAACCTCCATCTAAAGTTTTGAAAATTGGACAAAACATTGATATTGCATATTGCTTCTTTGGAACATGACCCTGGCATACATCCAAAAATTTCAGATTATCCTATCATTCAACAAGATGAAATTCATATGGCATATATACAGTTTAGTCCCTATCAAAACAACCCACTTGTATATCCACTTTCTGGTCCAAAAAGAAATCTTCATCTATTTCAAGCTTATTGGTTGGAAAGATTTCCTTAGTTAGAATATTCACCTGCAAAGGATGTAGCATTTTGCTTTCCTTGCTATTTGTTTGCAAAAAAACCAAGTGGGAAACAAGGAGGGGTTGAGACATTTACTTCAATCGGATTCAAAAAAAATGGAAAAAAGTTAACAATGGAGATAAATGTGCATTTTCAGCTCACATGGGAAAGGATCCAAATTCAATCCACAATATTACTATTAGATGCATTGAAGATTTTAAGAATTAGTCATGTCCTATTGAAAAGGTGTTACACAAACAAAGCTCACAATAAATTGAGAAGAATCAGTTATGTCTCAAAGCGTCTATTGATATTGTTAGATGGTTAACTTTTCAAGCTTGTGCATTCAGAGGGCATGATGAAAGCTTGGATTCAAAACACCGTAGTAATTTTCTTGAGATGATAAATCTTTTGGCTTCTTATAATAAGGAAGTGAATGAAGTTGTCTTAGGGAATGCCCCCACAAAATGCAAAATATACATCTCCAACCATTCAAAAGGAAATTTTACAAGTTTTTGCTAGAATGGTTCAAGCTGAAATTTGTAAAGAGTTTGGTGATACAAAATTTTGTTTAATTGTTGATGAAGCTCATGATGAACCTAAAACAGAATAAATGTCAATCGTTGTTAGATTTGTTGATAAAGATGGGTTTGCGAAGGAGTGTCTTCTACATGTAGTACATATCAAAGAGACAAATGCATTGACTCTTAAACAAGAGATTTGTTCTGTTTTATCCCATCACAATCTCAACATTCAAAATGTTCAGGGTCAAGGGTATGATGGAGCTAGTAATATGCGTGAAGAACGGAATGGATTACAAACTTTAATTCTTCAAGAATGTCCTTATGCTTATTATGTGCATTGCTTAGCTCATCAATTACAATTAACTCCTATTGCTACAACTAGAGAAACAGCTGATGTTCATGCTTTTTGTCAAAATTTGACTTCTATAATTAACATTATCAATTCTTCGGGAAAGTGTCACGAGGAGTTGCAAGCTACATATGCACTTGAAATTGCTCGTTTAGTTGAAATTAATGAGATTGAAATAGGAAGAGAAGCCAATTAGTTGGGCACTTTATAAAGACCAACGAACACAAGATGGAGTTCTCATTTTAAGTCAATATGCAGCCTTTTACGAATGTTTACTCCAATTGCCTCAATTCTTGAAAATGTGGCTGTTGAAGGATCCACATACCCTTAACGAGGTGATGCTACTTTTGCTTTTAAGTCATTTCTATCATTTGACTTTGTCTTCATTTTACATTTGATGAAGGAAATCATGGGAATTACTAATAAACTTTGCCAAGCTTTGCAACAAAAAAAAAAAAAAAGATATATTAAATGTGATGGGTTTAGTATCTAGCGCACAATTTTTGCTTCAAGATTTAAGAAATAGTGGTTGGGATACTCTTTTACATGATGTCACTTCTTTTTGTGAGACTCATTCCATCCAAATTCCTAATATGAGTGCTTCTTTTTGTGACATAATTCGTCCTCGTCGAAAAAAGGATGATGTAACAATTGAGTATCACTATCGAGTGGATATATTCACAACTATGTTAGATTATCAATTGAAAGAACTGAATTGTAGGTTCAATGAGAAAGCTACAAAACTTCTTACTTTGAGCTCAGCTTTGGATCCTCGCAATGACTATAAATCATTAAATATTGATGACATATACAAACTTGTGGAGAAGTGTTATCCTTCAGATTTTTCAAATCAAGAAAAGATTTGTTTGAAATATGAGTTACAACACTATAAGCTTAATGTACCTACTCATCCAAGATTTCAAAATTTATTTACTGTTTCTGAATAATGTCAAGTGTTGGTGGAAACTAGAAAATTAGAAGTTTATCCTCTCATTGATAGATTGATTCAGCTTGTTTTAACTCTTCTTATGTCAATAACAACCACTAAACAAGCTTTTTCAGCTATGAAAATCATCAAAACAAGACTCCGCAACAAGATGGAAGATGACTTTCTCAAAGATTATATGATTGTTTACATTGAAAAGAAGATTGCAGAAAAAATTACTATAGACTTGATTATATATGATTTCTACTTTATGAAACAACAAAGGGCACACCTTAAAAATTAAAAATACATACTTTTTGCTATCTTTATTTACAAGGCAGAACCCTCAAATCGCCCCTTAAAAAATATGTGTAAGAACAAATTCACCCCTAAAAAAAAAAAAAGGGACATTTAGCCCCCCAAAAGTATCAATTGACCCAAATCACCCATTATTTAACTGATGACGTCATCACCGTCACAATCTCCATTTAGGCCATGCTAGCGTGTCATTTTTTTACACACTGGAGGCTGATGTGTACCAATTGTGCTCTTTTTACACACTGTGTCATTTGCGTGTTCTTTGTCTGACACTATGGCTGATGGGTCCCACTCTTTATCCCATTTTTAACCGATGTTTGATGGCGAACTTGTTTGCCCTAATTCAAAGTTTTCAGAGTTGGGGGTTAGGGTTCTCTTCAAAACCACAAGGTTTCTCTCATTTCTGCAATTCCTTCCTAAAATTAGTTGAGGGGAAAAAGATTGTGAGTGTTTGTAAGTTTATTCACATGGAATCTTCCTCTAAGTTCACTTTTGCCTTTCCTCTGCTTTGACTTCTTTCAGCTTTGAGAACAGTGTATCAAACCCCACTGGTGAAATTTCAGCCATCAACAAATACTCGGATTCATCATATTTTAGAAGCTCATTTTCTCTAGCTACCTCATCGACGTGAAGACTCATCTCGCAGTAGTCTGGTTTGACTAAGAAAAAGAAGCAGAGTGAATGGGCAATCTTTAATTTCTCTGAGAAGTCAAAAGGCCGGTCTGACATTTATCGTCTTGGCTTTCTTGATCGGCATCTTAAGATGGGTCGAACCAGACGATCTTGGCAGGAGACACTTTAAGAAAATTAAAAAAAAAAAAAAAAACCAAGAAATTGAGTTAGATTCGATGGGGGATTTCAATCAATTTCGATTCTTGAAACAGGAAATGAAGAGGGGTTCTAGAAATTATAGTTGGGTTCGTCGGAGTTGTGTTCTTTGTCGGAATCTTCTTTTCTAGAGTCGATTGAGATGGATATGGCACTTCTTCCGTTATTTGTGTCGAAAAGAATATGAATAAGGGCTTTGATATTCAGTCTTCCAGAGCAAGATTCCCAACAGTTGAAGAAATCACAACCTTCGGAGAGGATACACAAATCAGCAAAAATGTTGCCACCATCCTTGACTATAAGTGATACTCCTGTCGACGAGAATTGTAGGGTGACCATGTCGATTACACATCCTACCAGTTCCACAACGGCATTCTCGAACAGGGTGCCTTGGTGTATCTCAAGGTCCAACAACGTAGACTTCTCTATTTGCCCTAGTTCAAAGTTTTCAAAGTT